TCAGAAACATTACAGAAACAGAGGAAAAACAAAAAGGAAATAAAAAGCTGTTTAAAAAAAAAAAAATCAAGATTGATTCAATACAGAGCAGTAGCTAAAAAAGCCCTAACAGTACAACCCACGACAAGCACACAGGGGGTGGTGGTACAAGGGGCAGGGGAAGAAGCACACAAGTTCACTGTTCAAACATTGTTTGAAATCACTTTCATCTCATCTACTGTGAAGAAATATGAAAAACATTTAAATACAGCAATATATTGAGTTGCTTTCACCTGCAAGAGCATGTAAGAAAGGGGAAATCTTAACTAACAAGATGAAGGAAAATAACCAAACAGTAATTTGTTGAAATAATGTTTCATTTGTAATGGCTTTTATGTAGTATTTAGCTCCTGAAACAAACTACAAGACATGCTGAAATTATCTACATAGTAGCTACAATATTTATTCCTAAATTCTAGATTTATTTAAATACAGACTAAATACAAGTGATGTAAATTTTGAGTGTGTATGATGGATGAAAAACACAAAATGAAGCTATGAGAAAAAAAAAAACATGGAAGAAAAATAGCCAAGAGGCTATCTTTTTAAGTTAAATCACTGTGGGCCAAAAATAGTAGCTGTTCATTGCAGTCAGCCTTTTCACAACAAAAATACAAAAACTTCTAAGTAAGGCATACAGAGGATATTTAGTGGAAGACAAGTGGAAGTGGAAGATTAAGTGTAGGAAGAGGTGCATCGGAAGATTAAGTGTAGGAAGAGGTGCATCGGCAGAGATTTTCAACAAATGAAAAGACACCTTAGCAGAATAAGACACCTATTAAGAAATGGCATCTTGTTCTTCTGTAAAATAGTAAAAATAATGAAGGAAAAAAAAGAAAACACACAGCTTTCCAGTATAACCAAGATATTAGAGCACAATAGGACACATGGTATTATGGGTAGAGTTCTTAGCTTGCTTAAAAGGGATCATTAATAATCAAAAAGACAATTGTCAGTAACAAAAAAAAGTAAAAAATCATATTCCAAATCTGAAAAGTTTGCCATGTCAATAGTTACTATGTAAACGCAATGGCTAATATGCCGATTGAGTATCCTGACAAAAGAATACTCAAAAATAAATTTTACAAACTACGAAAAATGCTTTCAGAAACAATTTCGAGAACTTATTTTCAATTTTAATTAGCTGATAACAATAAATTATTACCTCTAAATTGAAATATCCTACTAGAGAAGTAATCAGAATAAATGCTGATTATTATGTGAAACCGCAAGTTATTAAACCAAGGCATGGAAAATAGGAACACAAAATACTAATCCTGCAAAAAGCAATTAACATAAGAAACCATTTAAGGATATTCAGCACCGATTTCTTTTAGAAGATACTTAATTAAAGAAAATAAAGCTGTTCCAAAGCCTACTGATAAAGTACTGACCTTTGTTTTTTTCTGTGTTTTTTAATTCTTGCTTCTTAGTTGCAAATGCAAGCATGTTTAGCAGATAAGCTGCCTAACACAGGAATACTTTTCAGCGATAACAGTTTGACAAGATAGATGTGACTAACAGCATGTCAAATGAAGCTGGGGTTGGGACAGGTTTTCTTCCTTTTATACTACATATCCACAAACTGGAAGAAGAATATACACAGATGTGAACAACTACACATGATTTAAAACTGCAGGAGGCAAGAAAATTGAGAAACTTCTTAACCTCCCTATGCTGCTTTGTTAACAGTCCCCTCCGCTCCTGTTAAAGCAACAGTTTGAAAGATTCTGAAAACCAGGAGCCCATCTTCAGTCATTAAAGCAAGGTCCACTCCAAGGAAAGGCAAGGCTTGACATGAAGTGCACCTACCTAAGGCCAACTACAAGGAAGAACAAGCATGGCTAGATTACACAAAACTAGTGTGAGTTGTTCTCTCTCAATAACCTGGCCTGCAGTACCATGTCTGGGAGGCTACACAGACACATTGACCCTACAATTTATTCTGTAGCTGTGTGCCAAGCACAGCTGTGTTGCCATCGCCAGCCCGATCCTGCTTCCTGAGTTTGCACACAGTGTAACTCAGAAACGAATATACATATATATAACTAATTGACAGGGGTTTGTCCTCAAGGTGTTCTCCAACCAAAACTGCTTCTTACAGCAGGCCTCTTCTAGCAGCCCTTGTTGCTGCAGCATGATCCAGCTTGTTTAGCAGCTTTCATTTCGTAATTTTTAACTTTATGAGATTAGCTAGCCATTCTTTGCATTATATTAGTACCTGGAGGTGTGTTGTCATGCTTCTCTCTTGCAGCACAAATCAAATACCTAATATCATTTCTATAGGAATTGCTTGTATTTTTTTTGTTGCTGTTTTGCTTTATATATAGCTAACTACTCCTAATGTCAAATTCAAAATTATACTTTCCCCATTCTTATTAGAGGTAATAACACCAAAGCAATAGTCAAATAACAAGTGCCAAGTGGAAAAAAGGCATATTATATTGTTTGCATCTGTTTGTCACATAAAAAACAAAGATACTTGCCAGACTTACAAGAGAAGTGGGTTAGGAGGACTTACGAGAAGACTCAGTACAACTACAAGGGCAATGATAAGTTACAAGAGTGAGTCTATTAGTTCAGCCGTACAAAACATTAGAAATGAGTTAAGGACACTTCAGGCCAAGAAAACAGCCTCTTTGTTCACAAATAAGAGTTAAGTAATCTAAAAGAATGAATTCAGTGAATTCTTTTACATCCTGAGAATTCAGGGGGAGGGGAGCAGGGGAGGGTCCTTCCTTTCCCAGCTTGTGTTCATTATTTCCTCTCATATCAGATTGTGCCTCGTGAAACTATTCATACATGGTAATTATCTGCCGTATAAAACTGTACACAGAAACTTTGAGAACAGCTCTGTCATTATCTATTTATGGAATAACTATCAGAGTATTCCATTTCTGACTACAATATTTCTGGTATGATATTTTTCCTCACTGGGTAACATGATAGTGCTGATGGAACCTATTTCTACAACTTTAAAACCAAGCTATGGATCAAATCCTGACTCCAAAATCCACTACTGGACTTCAGCTAAAATAATCTTCACTTCCGAATGTATATGTATAATTCATGCTTCTGAGAACTCTTGAGTTTTATGGTGGGAGAAAACACACTTTCACAACCTCTAGTTGACATACATGACAAACATTGCTTTTTACATTCTCTCTCTAAGATAATTATTATTCAAGTGTGAATGAAAGGATTTAAATTACTAATTTTGTGTTACTTTGTGTTCACGGTCTGCGTTGACTTCTCACATTATGATGAGGAAAAAAGCCTGGAGTTGAAAATGCACAATGACATTGTTTCAGTCCAGAGATTATCTTTTTTGTATCACTCTGAAAAGAGCTGTCACAATCTCTCTCAACAACATGCAAAACTTACCCAGAAAACAACATCAGAGATACTTTGTTGCTCCTATTACTACCACCACTGTTTCCAAGCAAAGCCAACCCTACTATAAGAGGCAGAAATGAGCAGAAATTTTTGCTGAAATGTCACCCCGATGACTGACCACTAATTCAGCCCATCAGGATAAACAAGCACCCCTCTCCACTCACATGTGAAAGAGAATGAGCCAGCTGCAACATTCTGAAAACAACAATTGTTTTCACAACACTGATTACACTCTCACCATACTCAACAGTGACTGCACTCCTAGTAAGGGATGGTATTTTCTTTTAGTCCCAAAATATTTTACTTTAATGCCTAGATTCCATTTAATGGGGAAGTATTCCCCACCAAGTAAGGCAGCAAAAGTGAAATGGGTAGGTTTAAATTAAACCTTGTCTTCCCTCTGATTTTGTAACCCTTTGTAAACAAGGTTTCTACCATCACAATACTCTTTAGAAATAGTTTGTGTCAGTCACAATCACATAAAACATAACATCAGCCAGATCAAAGGAAGAAAAAGTGATATTTGATTATCATTTGCAAGCTTATGCAAAGTATGCAATTTATTTCAACACCTCAGAGTTCACAGCTGCATTGCATAAGAATGTGATATAACTCACTGAAGTGTTAAGTCTGGTCTAGTTAGCATTGTTTCCATAGTTCTGCTTTGCTAGCATCAATCTCACAATAAGACGCATCACAGAATGGAAAAAAAGCCACAATTTGGCCTATTTTATACTGTTACACTGAAGAAGTCTCATGACAGTTAGAGGAAAGGGAAGTCTTCATGCAAGAACTGCAAACACACGGTTTCTATGTCCTTCTGTAAGTTTCCTGAAGACATCTTCCAGAGTTGTCTAACTCAAAGTCATTTTATTTATTGTTTTGACATAAACTCCTACACCAAAGTGCCTGGCCAAGTTCTCCAAACACAGTACACTCCTTATACTTGCTCAGATTTTCATTTGGGATACAAAGCCATTTGATTCTATGATTCCCTCTCAGCACTTCCACTTACTCATCAGCCACTAAAACATAGTGCACAAAGGCAACAGTCACATTATGTGACAACACATTTGTTTGTTTTCACATTAACATGTTGTCAGCATTCACAGATGAGACACAGAACTACTGTATCAGTCTGAACATGATGAATGCTTGCTGAGTAGACAAGCAGTAACACTCCTATTCCTAAACATTTTTTCACGTTCATATTTTTAAGCATAAGAATCATTCCTATACTACATGCTGTTTTTTTTAATCAGGCTTCAAAACTAAACACAAGTAATTATACTTCACGGTTTGTTTTTTTTTCCCTGAAATTTGTCCAGTAAGAAGAAATAATGTGAAACAGAACAAGAAACCACCTAACATGCATGTAACTTGCATATTACAAGCATGATTCCTACAACCATTCAATAATATTTTACCCTTCTTTTGCAAGATCAGTTCTAAATGCTGAAAGAACTAGATCCAAGCCATCAGGAAAAATAGCATAACAATCACAGAAGTTTTATAGTTTACTAGTGATTTAGAAGGAATTCATAGCTTAAACAAGAAATACTCACCAAGATTTGTGTTGGGTCCAGCGAGTAGCTGCTTAAATTTGTCTAATCGGGATGCTTCTCTTTCAGTTAATGCAGGAGTAACTGAGGTATTGAAGTCTGCCACTCCGCTCACCAGGGGAGGTGTGGAAGTTTGTGGAAGAGACTGAGATCTCTGCATGGAAGAATTTTCACTAGCATTATCTGAAGGGAAAAAGAAGCATAATAGTTAGCCTTAGATACCAAAACGACTACTAATAACTTGAACTTTTAAATTTAAAATCAAGTTCTGTTTGGGGGAAATATAAGCTCAAGTGTAACACAATTTTGAACTTCAAACTGCTTGGATTTCACAGGAGAACCATTCCTCTTCCAAGCAGTGTTTCACAATTCAAATACATCAATTAGAGATCGCACTAACAGCAAAGCTAATTTATTGCTAACATTTCTGTGCTATTGAAAGCTGTTTCCGTCTCTCTCACCGTTCTAAAATAATAAACAGGGAAATCATTGCAATTGGTTACTTTAAAATTAATTAAAACACAGAACAGATTATATAAGGACAAACATTCCAACTATATGAATAGTTTTTCAATATATTTTATACAGTGGCATTTTAGTAACAATTTTTCTACAATAGTACAAATTGTAATTGCATACAACTTGGTACAGTTCAGTGTTGAGATACATTCAATAGTGCAACTTCCTCCAAAACTTGAAGACTTATTGAGTCTGAAAACAATGGAAATTAGTTATTCTTTCCTCACCTATACATTTCTCATGCACACACCTTATGGTTTAGCATGGAGTCTAGTGTTTCCCTCAAATCAATTAATATCACTTAATAACATTTACCTGCAGTAAAGGTTGGGAAGGGGTTAATGCCCTAAAAGGTACATTTTATAGCTTTCTTCACTCTATTTTCAACATTTCTATTCATTTCTTAACATACCTGATGAACTGGAAGTATGACCTTCACTGACTGATTTAACAAGCCTATTATCACCACACGCAATTGAAGTCAGCTCTGCAGATTCTACTTGTTTTTCTTCCTGCTGATGTTCTTCCTGAAATTTATGCTGTTCTTGTAACTTGCTGTGATTCTGAATTACTTTGTGAGCTGTTTCCATGACCACTTCTGTATTTAGGTTTTCAGCAGCTATTGCTAAGAGTTCGTCATCATCATCCCCAAGATCCCAAGCATCACTTGTGTTACTTTCAAACTCCTGGAAGGTGCTGACTTTCTTTAGTTTCACCGGAGTTGTAGGTGGTTTTGATCCTGGCTTTATCAAGCTGTTAATAACAAGTAAACAATGTTTAGAGAACTGTCAATGGAATAGGCAACACACGACAGATAGGGCAAAAAAAATAAAATAAAAACACAGAAGTCTGTGCTTGACAGCTTAACACTATATACGTAGCAAATATTTATCTCCTTCCACTCACGTTGCTGTTACATCCAACCCTGACAGAATACAGCAGAATACTCCTGAGAACAAAGTCAAGTAACAACCTGACTCTTCCTGGCTTTGAATACAAACTGGACAAATTCTTCCCTCCCTTGTCTTCAAAATAAATAAATAAATAAATAAATCTCAAAGTCAAGTAAGGGGAATACTACTGGAATCCTTTAGGAGCTGGGACACGTTACAGTTCTCTTGCTTTGTGAACTCCTACAGAGGTTTCAGGCCTTTCCATGCAAGTGCTGCATAATGACACAGCAGCGGTAATCAAGTCATCAGGCCTAGTCCCAAGCCATCACATGCAATCACACAGCATAATCACTGTCATAAACAAATCAAGTCTCACCTTAAAACTCATTACAACTATCGTTCCTCCCCAATCAGCCACTCCAGCATGAATTTGCTTCAGAACTTTGCTCTTCTGGCAGTCAGGAGAACTCCTCCAGTTACCAGCCTGAGCATGCCCTATCAGCTCCTAACCTTTTGTCCCTCTGCCAACACACACTACAAGGCAGACGAACCAAGTATCACTCCCTAGCTTGGCACTTGTCCTCATTCCCTGTAATGCAGAGCAGTCACATCAGATTTCAGCTAAAGAAGGCATCAAGCCAGCTTCCCCACTCTCAAAAATAAAAAAGCAGAAGCTGTCAGGATGCAATAATGTATTTTGCTAAACACCTCAACCATAAGGACATGAAGACGGATGTTTGCACTAGTTTGGGGTTATTAGCATGAAATTTATTTGGTTACTAATGATGTTTCATATTTCTGCCATGTTCATGAACATCATATTCTGCTATCCAGTAATAATGATCTAAGTTGATAAACTTTAGATCACTGTAAATCTCTCCTGCTGCCTTCCCACTCACAAGTAAAATGCCCACCTTTGCCTCAAATTAATCTACATCATAATCTGATTCTCCTCTTTTACAGATGGATGCACACAAAAAAATAGGCAGTCTATCAACAGAAAGATGCATACAGGAAAGCCACTTACACCCATAAGCATCAGGAAGTCACAAAAGAGAAGTCAGAACAGAGAAGTCAAGATTATGACAAAAATTGAAAAAGGAAGATTAACATCTTCTGACAAAAAGAAGAAAAGAAAAGGAGGAGAGAAGACAGACGAGATCCAAATCACCTTGAATATTTGAGTACTAGGTTAACTTACGTTCCATGCAGCAGCGGATCAAAAGGCGGATGCTGAGCTCCGTACACATGTTGGATACTAAAGGAGAAGAGAGACAGAGCGTGTAATAAGTAATCACTAATGAAGACAACTGAAATGTTCCAGCAGTTTTCAACTTCAAAGGATCTCCTAACCAACTAAAAACAATGAAGCTGAAATTGAAGCACGTACTAAGAAATAACTTGATAAAAATCTTAGATATGCCAAACAGGATCACTTTTTCAAGGCCTAGAGTAACTTACATTAATTTATTGTTTTCTCCAGGAAATAAAACAAGAAAAGGTAGCTCCATAATAAGATGAATCAAAAGCATGTAGGTTTTCTCTTTTCTGATTTATCACTTCTTCATTTATCTCTTGCCAAAAATAAAACAAAAACTCTCAAAGAACTGTCTGTAAAGATTTCATCCTCTCTGGGTACTTGTGGCCCAAAAACCAACCAGTCAATTCTTAACAGTGACTAAAGCAAAAGGCTGAACAATTTAAAGGAAAAATAGCATGTGAAAGATGCCCTGTTAGAGAACGTAAGAGCAGTAAAAACAAATGCTTTGAAATAAAGCTTCCAAAGACAGATTTTTTTCCTACTACAACATCTCATAATACAAAACAGCGTATTACCCTGAGCAATAAAACTCTACAAACTACAAGTTCATTTCCTCCCAGATTTCAGCTACAAAATTATTTTGTAAGTCAAAAAGCTCCATGGAAATCCCAGCAAAATTTACATGCAGCCTTGTACCGAAAATTATTACTGAAAAACTCTGATTGTAAGAGAAGCAAATCATATGCAGCAGTAACACCTCCCTAAATCTGTACTGAAAACCACATTACAGGAGGCAAACGTGCCCTCCTGACAAATCAAAATCAATCCCAAGACCATAAATATAAATACGTCCAACCTTCATAAATTTGAGGTAGAACCACGCCAAAAAGACGGCGGTCATAACAAATTACAGGAGACTTGGATTTATACTAAAGAGGCCATACTGACAGCTGGGAAATTAACCCTAGAGATGTCTGAGGGTGGTGCTTTATACACTCTTGAATTTTTTACGTAATTCCACACAATCCAAAAAGTCAACCCAGCACCAGGCTTCCCACACAGCTGTATGCTGTGCCCTCTGAACTCCCTCTCCTGCTCTACGATCACACAAGGGTCAGGCTGTGCAATCGAGGAGAGTCAAACATGTTTTAGCCCCGCAAGAACTTTGTGAAATTACAGAACAAGAAGTTCAGAGAGACAAGAACAGTCAGACCAGAAGAGTCCATTTATAACCAGAGAAATAAAACCACCACCAGTTAGAGCTTATGGATAACTGAGAATGGAAGAAGTTAAAGGATGAGCAAGATTATTTCCTACAGCATTCAAGTAAAGGTAGCTTTATTGTTTATATCATTTACCTGAGAACCAAGAATACATCTCATCCGTACAAAAAAAGAATGTAAGAAACTGAATTACCCCACTGTGAGAATAGTTTAGGGATGGGAGCAGAGAACATAACTGTAAGTGTCAGAACATTTGATGTCATTTGGGGGATATATTCCCTGGAAAATTTTGAATGGGAGAGTACGTTTGTAGCTCTCAGCTACAGGACAATTGGTTCTACTCTTCATACTTCAGAAGCAAAGTTGAGAAATTAACAATATTTTGAATACTATGCAGGAAAACATACTTTATAGCCATGTTTTAGTCTCAAGGCACAACTATTTAAATTCATAAAGAAAACATGAACCAATCAATTCGCTGTATGATGCCTTGATCACTGAGTAAATATAATAGGGTTTGCAAATTTGTAACAGGATTCAACAACTTCAAATTGAGACTCCATTAAAAAATAGCTTTCTTTTTGTAAAAATACTAATTATCCTCACGATTTTCCAAGTTTGCATGTGCTTCACGAGAGAAGAAAAGCTTTTAGTTTAAGAAAACTTCTTCAATGTGTTTTATTAATCTTCACTGATAAAAAATAGAACATGGCCAGAGGCCGGGAATCATTAAAGCCCACTTTTGTCTCTTTGAAATTTCACAGTATTTGGCTAAAAAACGAAGAAGTAAAAGTTTCCCATCCACCACCCAAGCAGTTGACCATACAGAACTGCAGAAGAGCTGCTGTTTTAGCAGAAAAAAAAAAAAGACTTTTACATCTACTTTCTAACCACACTCCTTTTTCATCCCCATTGCTCCTTAGTTTCTTACTAAGAATCTTTTCAGGGGCATTTGGCAAGGCTAACTCAGCTATCCCTTATCTATCTATCCACTACCAACTTTTTGACCCAAGTTACAACCACCACTTGCTGAGACAACCTTTGTTTCTTATTAAGAACCTTTTTGGAGGTGTTTGGCAAGACTAATCCTGATAAGACTAACTCAGCTACTCCTCATTAACCCACGATCAAGTTTTTGACAAAAGTCATGGAATCGTCAAGGTGGGAAAAAGCCCTCCAAGATCACCTGGCCCAACCACCCCCCACCACCAACGCCACCACTAACCCATGTCCCCAAGCACCACGTCCAACCTCTCCTTGAACACCCCCAGGGACGGTGACTCCACCACCTCCCTGGGCAACCCGTCCCAGTGCCTGACTGCTCTTTCTGAGCAGAAATGGCTCCTCATTGCCAGCCTGAACCTCCCCTGGCACAACTTGAGGCCATTCCCTCTGGTCCTGTCACCAGTTCCCTGTGAGAAGAGGCCGACCCCCAGCTCCCCACAGCTTCCCTTCAGATAGCTACAGAGAGCAATAAGGTCTGCCCTGAGCCTCCTCTGCTCCAGACCAAACACCCCCAGTGCCCTCAGCCGCTCCTCACAGGACTTGTGCTCCAGAAAAACAGACTGTCCATAGGACACCCATCCCACGGCACTACCCCACAGAACTGCGACAGGCAGACCCCAGTGGGATCAGCCTAGAAATCTAGGCTGAGGCAGCTGCACCAGGGACCATTTGCTTCAATTCCCATCCTGTCTAAATCCCTTGCAGACCTTGTGTTGGTGTATATTATGATAGCCTGTAATAGTATTGCGACCTCCATATGGTTCCTGTGTATGATCAATGGCCTGAACTTTTTCTATAAAGACTGCTCTTCATGGTATTCTGAGCAAGGCACTTTTAAGCTTTAGTCCTTTTTCATAAAGCCAATATAGACAGAGAGTAGTTCAGAATATCCTTGATGAAGAAATGCAAAACCTGACACGTCAACAGAAGGAGACGTTGCAGATAAAAGTACAAATTTCAGTCGAATTACATCTAATGTTTTATAATAAATTGGATTCTCCTTTTGTTTCTCTGTTATATAATTGCTAAATACTGTTATTTACCTATCTTATCTTTTTGTGGGTTAGGCAGGCAAAGTTTTAATCTTTCTCAACCTTAAAGTTCCCTTAAAGACTTCATATTGTATCCACATTTGTTGGTTTGTTTATTTTTTTGTTTTTCTCAGCAATTCTGATCCAAAGATGCCTCATTTCTGCAAACAGAATGGATATGTTTCTATGCTAGTCTCTGGAGCCTGGGTCCTGAGAAAACAGTGCTGATTACAGATCTTTTTCTCTGCATCCTAATGCAAGACTAATTTAATATGTCAATGTCCATGCAGTGAACATTCTGGCATAACTCAAAATTGGCACGTAGTACAATACCTGACTTGTAACTCAGCATTTGTTCTTTGGTGTGTATTTCAAATGCAAGTAATTTATTAGAAGTACAAAATATTGAAGTTTTTTGCCTGCTTTGGGAATTACCTTCTAAGAACTAACCATCATTGTTTAGCAGATCATGCAAGGTCATGGTCTAGCAGTGGAAGCTGCTTGTCATGGAAATTTCGATGCTACTTATCGACAAATATGCTATGGGTATCCTTTTCTCTGCTAGTGTCCTTTGAATGAGATCCCTCTTAAAGATTATGGGCCTGTAAGCATTTTGTAATGCTTTGTGACCTTGAGTATCAGCAGTTTTAATACAATACACAGGAAGCATAGTGTAATATGAACTATGTCTATTAGCTAAAGTGAAAATGACACCTGCAAGGTCATGAGTGGAACTTTGCTTGGTCTAAAATAGATTAAGTTTACATTAGACCCATCGTTGTCAGAATACAAAAATGAGATACTTTTGCTTGTGACAGTCAAAAATGTGATAAATCCATAATAAATGTATTCTGTCATAAGCAGTAATGCAGTTTCTGAAGCTGTATTTCTGCTCTTTTTACGTGTTCGTTGTTGATATTTGTCAGAGGAAAACTTAATTATTTTTAGCCTAGGTAGCCTAGGCCATCTGTAATCTTTGTAAAACTTGGCCTGAATCCTGAAGCAAAGCCACTTAACTTTTATGTCAGTCTGGTGCAACCATGTGGAACTTCTGGTTCATTTTAGAAGTGAAGGTTTTATTGAATTACATAATAAAGTCAGTACAAAGTTAACTGCATTATTTCATTTTCATTACATTCAGTATATGTTATATTGTGCTTAAATTTTCAGTGCAGTGGAAAGTTCTACACTGGAAACAACTGTTGCATTAATTGTTCCAGTGAATACTTCAGATAGTCAGGATGTGCAAAGGGGGCTACGTGTATACTGTGAAGAATAGGGAGAACACTTTGACACAATCTTTGTCAGCATTACTGTGGGAAGCAGCTGCCAGCATAGACCTGTGGGCTGAAGTCATCCACAGTTGGATGGGGCCCTCTCTGTTGTTGACTTTCAAGAGGACAAGGACACTGTTTTCATTCATTTTCTATTCACTTTTGTATTTTGTTCATTGTTCTGTTTTGTTTTATCCCAAACATAGACCTGTGCTGCTAGGGAGATGGGAAGGATTTGGAAGGAAGAGTCTTTCAAGACCCCATCAGGTAATTTAGGTACAATCCCTTATGCCTGTCACTTAAGATGATCTCACTATGAAGAGCCCGTCCCTGTAAAGGACTTACAAAACAGGAGGCTGTATTGTCAAAAGAAGATAATTTCACAACTATGGAGTACATGGAAAGAGAAGGTGGTGTGAATATGTATTTAAGCAGTGTTCCTGCTTTAGGTTTTTTGGTAACAGAAATGCAACGTGCAGCTAAGGGTGTATACAGATTTAGCTGTCAACCTCTTTGTTGTATTTAAGAAGGAAATTTGCAAGTGTTCATGGGGTGCCATTCAAAAAGAATTACAACACTGCAGTCACCACTGGGATTCGCCTACTGTAGTTGCATAGTCTTCAAGTACTCCCAAGACTCTGAATAAGCACTTGGGAAATTGGTTAATGTTGAATTGTGCTCAGCTGTAGTTACAGTGCTTCAGACATCCAAACTAGCTATTTTAAAGTTGGTGCAGCTATGTTAACTAAGCTCTTTACTACTGGGATCACAATAATTAGAGCAATATTTCACTTAGTACTTGTATGGGAATTTTCATTATTCTGGTGCAAGAATATATCAACTGGCTTATTGTAGTATTTGCTTAGTTGCATGCAAAGTTCTGTGCAAGAATTTATAGTTAAGTTGAGGTCTTTGCCAGCATAGGCAAGTAATGTATCGAGCTCACAAGAAGCATCAGGACTGTGGGCAATTCAGTCAATATTGATAGAGGAGTTAGGATTCCAGTGGCTTGTGAGTTTGGTTACTTTCTGGATTCTGTAAGTGTGTGTAAAGTAGGAAATGCACTGATGAAAGGATGAAAAGCCTAATAATGTGGGACAGAACGAGGATGGAGGGCTATAGTTTAGGCTAAGCATAAATTAAGCTTAAATTGGTGTTGGTATGCAGTTCAGTTTCTTTCTTGTACCTTTTTATTTTAATATGGAATTTATATTAATGTATATATTCGAAAATATATTATAGAGTACTTTATGAGAAGCATGTCTCCCTAAAATAGTGACTCAAGATATTGAACCTCTAAGGGTCCGCCTTCTTCTTCTGAAGTCCTATAGGCCATTTCAAAATTAAGCTCTTACTGATACCACACCTATTTTTTTTTCAGCAGGAATGAAATGCCTTTAATTAGCAAAATTCTTTTTTTTTACTTTTCTTGGTTGTTTTTCAAAGTCCACTCACTGCATACAGTTGGTAAATGAGGATGCTCAGGAGGTTTCTGTATGTTCTAAAGTGTAGAAATGGAGCCATGTGCTTGGCTGGTCAAAATTAGGAGAGCTATAGCTTTCACTAGCAATATTTTGAGCAAAGTAGACACTGGGATATTTATTCTGTGGTATGATACCTGATGAGTCATATATACAGGTATTTCAGTGGACATTTAGTTGCACCAATTTGTTTTTCAGTTCATCTGTTGTGGAGAGTTTCAGCAAACGTGCCTGTGCTGGTATGCTTATACAGGTAGACTTTTCTGTGGAGGTATGGTGTGTGTACAGAACAGCTTTTCTCATGACACAGGAAGGTATAGATTGATGCTAAAGAAAATTAACTGAGCTGTCAACAGCACTCCCGTGCT